TTGTAGGTACTGGAATTGTGATATTTTGGAGGAGGATACATGTATTGTAAGTACTGGTGTTGGGATACTTTGGGGGAGAATACATGTATTGTAAGTACTTGTCTTATGATACTTTGGAGGAGGGTATATGTATTGTAAGTCCTGGTATTGTGATACATTGGAGGAGGGTACATGCATTGTAAGTACTGGCATTGTGATACATTGGAGGAGAATACATGTATTGTAAGTACTGGTATTGTGATACATTGGAGGAAGGTACATGTTGTAGGTACTGGAATTGTGATATTTTGGAGGAGGATACATGTATTGTAAGTCCTGGTATTGTGATACATTGGAGGAGAGGATACATGTATTGTAAGTACTGGTATTGTAATACTTTGGAGGAGGGTACATGCATTGTAAGTACTTGTATTGTGATACTTTGGAGAAGGGTACATGTATTTTTAATACTGGTATTGTGATACTTTGGAAGAGGATACATGTATTGTAAGTTCTGGTATTGTGATACTTTGGAGGAGGGTACCTGTGAGCTGAAAATGATTCATGCTATACAATACACTTCAATTGTTAAATTTCAAAATTTGAGAGTTAACCTGAAGATGTTCGGAATTAATCCTTCTGTTAATAAATTTTGTTGTTACAGATACACAAAAGAAGGCCTGAAAATCCCCCAGAAGTCCCCAAACAGACTCCCAACAGACCCCCAATACACCGCATTACAGTCGTTCTTCATACTACACATCAATGCAACAGATCCTGGCCAATCGCTGATGCTGGGACAATATCCCATCCGACAAAAAGGCATAGAAAAGTGCCCCAGCCATAGAGAAAACCCTCTGGTATTTGTGTGTCAGGATTGTAAAACATTAATATGTGCTACTTGTAGCATCACTTCACACAAAGAACACATAGACAGTTTCCTTGAAATTACAAAAGTTGCAAACACACAGAGACATGAATTACAAGATTTTATTTATGACACAGAAATCGTCAAGATTCCCAAACTTAAAGGAGAAATAACTTCTGCCAGAACAATTTTTTCACAATATCACCAAAAATACGAATTTCTGAAGACATTAAAAAACAGAGAGACAGCAGTAAACTGGAAATAGACACAATATCGGAGAATTACTTAGCAACATGTGACAAGATGGAAAAGGGGACCACAGACCTCCTTCAGACTCACATCACAAACCTGGAGGACAGGTTGGACACTTTGGTGAAACTCTCATCAGAGTGTAAAGAGGCCCTCCAGACAGGCACTGCTGTACTTTTGTATGACTCGGTATCAGAAATCAAGGACATGGACTTAGATATTCCACAGACACCTAACATAGACATGGCAGAGTTTACTCCAGATAACAACAGACAAAGTCACCTGGAGCAGGTCATGGGGAAAATGAAGACTCCTACTGACCATCTCTGGACAGGATCAGCAGAGTGGTCACTCCAAACAAGGTCCAGTTGTGAGACCAAACCGTCCAAATCTACAGAGACGGGTCAAGCCTCCACTGGAACAGTTCCGTACAAACTTTGTGACAGTCCATCTGTCATATCTCAGTTCTTATACCCAACTGGTATCTCATCAGTCTGTCCTTTACCTGATGGACGTGCATGGCTGTGTGATTATAACACAAACACAGTAAAACTCATCAACTACAAAGGTAACTTTTTCAAGAACAAACCTAAAGTCATACAGAAGATACAACACAACAGTAACATCAGAAACATCAGTCTGAACCCCACCACAGGTCGTCTGTGGTTCTGTTGTATTACTGAGAGGACTATCTATGAAGTATCTACATCTACACCAGTCACAAGGTTTACTACGGAGGATGACCCACACAGTCTGTGTGTGACCAGGGAGGGTCTGGTAGTGGTGGGTACAGGGGGTAAACAGGGGAACAAGGTGATGATGTACACAACAGACGGCCAGGTGTTACACACAGCCACTGTGGAGGGGTCAGGGGAGGGGGGAGTAATGTCCATCACACAGTGTGGTATTACAGGTAACATAGCTGCAGTGAGTAGTAAACTAATCAGTGGAGACTATAGTGATCCAGACAACTACAGGCGTCACATCATTGTGTACAACCAAACACTCCAGTCCCTGGTCCACTACCGGGGAGAGGGGATACAGGCAGTCACACCAGACACGTTTAATCCATTAACAGTTGTATATGACAGTAAGGGTAATATTGTTATTGCTGACATGGCAAGGAACACAATAGAAATGATAAGTGGAGCAGGGAAGTACATAAAAACACTTAACACAAACAAAGGACCACAGAGAACAGTAGGTATACAGAAGGATGATGTGTTGTGGTCACGCTTAGAGTTAGATACAGGAGAGAGGGCATTCACACTTCTCAAGTATTACAGTGACTGAGGAATGACTAAACCTGGAGTGATGATACAAAAAGGACATTAATTTTAACATTGAACTTTGTTATCATGATCTTATACACTTGACCAACACTTGAGGAATTAATGTAAACATGTCACAGGTTTATTGTTTACAGATTTTGTAATTAGTTTCTGTTTTGAAGTGTTGTTCCAAAATAATGTCATCATCAATTTCCCCAAAAACCATGCTGGAACATCAGGTCCATTTGTTTAGGTGTGAAATATGTTCTTTTCAATATTCAAGAAAAATGTCATTGATTTCAAAAACCAGCATATGCATATGTTTAGGTTTGAAAGTTAAGAAGATGCCTCACAAATATCAGTAAAGAAATTACTATGTATGCCATGTAAGTTGTGTGACAGTAAGTGACCACAAAGATGTTTTATGTTGTTTTTATTGTTACCATTGTAAATCCTTTGTTCTATTTTACATCAATGCTACTGTAATCCACTGATATTTCCTGTGATTCATGTTTTCACATTAATTGGTAAGGGGAGGCAATCATGAGTACAAGTATCTAGGCTAAGTGTAAATAGTATGATCATCACACTTCAAGGACTCAAGCAACTAAATAATTAAATATACGCTGTTTCACTTTTTCAACTTCTTTTTTTAGAAATATGGAATTCATAGCTTACACATTTCTTATCTTAGTACTGATATATCTTTTTTTATTTTACTGAATTTTTATTTTATAACATGTTTACCAGTGAATTGTAATAAGTAGACATTTTACCAGCATATTTTTAAGTGTTGTTTTTCACAGTAAAATTGAACTGACCAATCAGAGAGCAGGATTTAAAGAAAAATAACAAAATGTAATATAATTGTGATTTTATAATCAATTAGACTATCAATTCATCTTTTAGTTTGAAACATCATTGAAACTAACAAGTTCTTTCAACAGCTGTTGTTTATAAGTTTCTTTCTAACAAAGAGAGAATTAAGAACTATATTATTTGTCAATGTTATTTAACTTTAAATCAATAATATAATAAACTTGTTTAAACAGTTTCCAAATTGTCTTTTTTAATTTAGCTTTGGTTTTTATCTCACCATCATCAGATGGTAGGCTGTTCAAATCGCCTCCTCGTCTGTGGTCTATCCTTGGTTATTGTTATCACTGTTTCTCAAAAAGCGCTGACAACATCTTTCCTAAATTTCAAATGAAACTTCCCCTTTGTACTCAGTTGTGAATTTAATGTTAAGACTGATCAGAAAAACAAGATGGCTGTGGGGCAGCCATCTTTGAATTTGAAAGTTCAAGGTTGTTAAACATCGTTATTTCTAAAGAATAATTTTCATTTTGAGATTGATTGGAAAAACAAGACGGCTGTTAGGTAGCCATCTTGGATTTTGACAGTTCAAAGTATGTTATAAGACCACACTTTGAAAGGACACTCTCAAACCCATCTATCAGTTACAAAATTTGATTTAAAAGTTACCACAAGACACATTTACTGGTTATAGCAGATTATCAATTTGCCAAATAAGAGAAAAAAAGAGAAGAGTTCAACTTAAGGTAAAACTAATGAAGATCTTAGGATGGTTGGTGCCAAGATACCTCTGGGATTTCCTGTTTTTTGAAGTAGGTCAAAATACAAGTAAAATTTGGAGAGAACGTAAATCTAAAAAAGGCATTGAGAAAATCACTGCCTGCCTTACCTAAAAGGGATGTTTCCGTGGGAGGAGGCCTAGGACCCCAGGCCGTACTCACATGACACCTACAAGTTTGGACTGAGTTGTTAATTCATGTAGATTATTGATCGCGCTGAAAAACAAATATGACAAAAAAAAATGATTGTTATTAATTTAAACAATGTTACACCATAAAAAATCGCCAGACTTAATACATGTTTGCCCGCAGAATTCATAATGGAGTTTTCTGTTGAAAAAATAAACAAACCAAGAATTTTATGTTTTTCTTTTCTCTGTACTTTACATATTTCAAATGTTATTTGACTAGCTTGTTTGTAGAAACATCGCAAACTTGCTAACTTGAGTTTCAGCCAAGCACTGGATCCTTTGAACTACATTTAATTACAATAGCTTCATTTTCCAGGGATCAACCATGGTCTCAAACTGTTACTGTTGTTACTTTTCAGATGCAGCATGTTGAAATGGCTGAACAGGATCAACGAAAAATTGGCCAAGATGTTGTTCCCAGACGTTTGATTATACTGAACAATAGACTTTTTCTTTCTAAATATGAACGCCTGATTTATATGCAAGACATTTGATATTTCCAACCAATAATCAAAAGAGCATGCATATGTTTTGACCCATTACTTTACATAACCAGAGGGATCTTGGCGCCCACCATTGTACAATCTTCATTAGTTCTTTGTCAGTTCGATCTTTTCTCTAATCTGTTTGATCGAGACATGCTAACAGTAACTGCACCTTGAAGTAACTTTTGATCTAAACTTAATACTGCTGTGTATAAAAGACAACCTTCAAAGTGAGTTTGTCATTTCACATATTTACTAGTACAGTACTTAATGTGAAAGAAATTAATAGAATCAATCATTGCACTATGAGAAAGATCTGTTAAGTTCTTCCTTTAGCCATTTTGTTTTTATGATCAGTCTCAAAATGTAACATGCACAACGAGGGATCAAGGGGAACCTACATATCAACTTTGAAAGACCCCTCAAGTTATTCCTGAGAAATAGGACTAACAAACCTTCAAAGTTCAAAAATCGAAGATGGCTGTCGGTCGGCCATTTTGTTTATCTAATCAGTTACAAAAGTAAACATAAACAAATAGAATTTGAGAAAGAACCCTCCAAGAATTGTTTCCTGGAAAATAGCACTAACAACCCTTTACTGTCAAAATCAAAGATTTGTTCATCCGATCAGTCTCATAAGAAAATATGCATAACTGCATACCAAGGGGAACCTACATACAAAATTAAGAAAGATCTCTCCAGTATACTTCCTGAGTAAAAGCCATAACAAACCTTCACTGCCAAAATCCAAGATGGCTGCCTGTCTGCCATTTTTTTTATCTGATCAGACACAAAAGCAAATATGCACAACTATATAGGATCTAGGGGAACCTATACATATAAGATTTGAGACAAAGAACTAATGAACTAATTTTAATGTCGGCCATGTTGTTTATCCGATCAGTCTCAAAAGTTGCTCTGCACAACAAGGGACCAAGGGGAACCTACATATAAAATTTGAGAAAGATCCATCTGGTACTTCCTGAGAAATAGTGATAACAAGAATTGTTTAAGAACAGACCATGGACGCAGGAATCTGATTGGGGGCTAAAAATAAATAAGCAGCTAATTTTTTAGTGACAGCATTGTATAGAACATGTAGACAGGACAAGATAATTAAAAAATCACTCTTTCTTGTCAATAATATGTGCAGAACATTTTTCTTTTAAATTCCATGACATAATGTGGATAAACTACCGCTATCTGTCAAGAAAAAATTACAACAGTAATTAATCTTAATTCTCATCACCTTAATTATTTTGAAGGTAAGTTTATGATCTACATTTTGTATTAAGGATGTATTCCTTTCCTCATAAGTATGCAGTATTCCCGTCTTCATTGTTGTTGGAGTTCACATGCCACAGTTGATTCATAACCGCATAGGTGATTCTAAGCATAAGGATGTTCTCGACAGTCGTGTCCTGCTGACCAATAGACTATTTGAGAAAGTTTTTGACCCGAGAGGATACGAAAAAATATTATGTTCGTCATCATAAACTGGACCCTACCTACAAGTAAGGGATTATATCGCCTACCATACAAATAACATGTCTACATCGTTGGTGACCTGCGTGTGATCCTAATTCAGGATTTGACAGAAAAATTAATGACAACTGCCAAATGCAGTGCCGGAAATTTTATCGTTTTTTTATGGTGGTTAACGATATACTTTCCCGTTATTGACAGGAGCATCCTAATCTCTCAATTTTTTTATCATTAAATTTCCTTTTATTTACAGTCACATCCCTACACTCCAACCTATGTTGTTTGGTTCGATATTCAAGAGCTTCCCCCAAACATTGTGATCTAAATGTCGATTGGTGACGGATAGACTTACAACACAGTGTTTCCTATATCCAGGTGATGAAGACTAAGGCCAAATTTTATTGTCGCCATAATTATCTCATTTAAAAATATGTTATTTCTTCATGTAATAGATGGAGGTCGATAATTTTCTCAGTTTGAGGGTGTGACATAGATCTACAAAGCGGGTGTCATCAATTCTTTTAGTGCATTTTCAAGAGTATTCAGGTGAACCTTTCCTTTGTGAGTTTGAATGATTGTATTGTTTAATTTACACCTCAATATTTTCTAGCTGTTTTCTTGTAAGATACATACATGTGAGGTATATTTGTTTTTCTATTTTACTCAACTTTGTACCAATTCAATATTAACCAGTTTCTCCAAAAAAACCAGACCAATATTATACAAAAATTATTCTTTATTAATGAAAGTAACATAAAAATTATTCTTTATTAATGAAAGTAACAAGAAAACTGCATTATGACATTTGTTACATTTGAATTAGCAGCAGTTATTCTAGTAGTATATCATGATCGATTATACATGAAAAAGTAGCCTTCCTGCACTACAATGTACTACAGTAAACTCTTAACGAGTCAATGGGATAACTGATAAAATGTCCTTTAGAACAGTTTGAAAGATATCTTCCTTTTTGCTTGTTCCATCAAGGAATGCTGAAAAAAATACAATGGGTCAATATTATTTTCATCAGCAAACATCAAATAGTTACAATATTGCATTATGCACGGCAAAGGTTGCTGTGTTGTATTGTTTTTCGATTTTACTTCAATTTGTTGCTAGCGTTTAAATAATAATGGTACATGTACATTGTTCGTATCACCAATATGGTAAGACAGACAGAAAAAGCACAGGATTGGGAATGCATTATATTTTGAAAATTTAGTTCTACAGTAAGACAAGATAGGGTGCATTAAAATAAAATTGGCAAAAACCTGTTGCAATTAACTTCTCATGTTCATAAACTTGCAGCAATGAAGTCAGTTTTATGTTAAACTGGAATATAATTATACCATATATTAGAAACATGAATATAATGGCCAACAAATTCCTAAATAGTCCACGTGTTTGCTGCAAGGTGATGTGAGATTCTATTCTTAAAGAACATAAATGATGGGCACATATATAGCATCAGACTTTCAGCAGCATGAAAATAGTTTATAATCTGGTGAATAAGAGAACAAAACACCAGCAATGGAATCAATTGCCCTTTAAACTAATGACGGAGATACTCACTGATATCAGACTGGTCCTTTATTTCCTCCCGGCTCTCCAAATAGGCTGGCCATACAATCTGATCAAAATAGCCAGGAACATCCGGGGGCTCATAATTCCTTTCACTACAGTAAAATTAGACAGGTTTGTCACTAAATATATATCACTACTTTGGTTAAGAATGGAGGGCCTGTATCAGATTCATAATGGACTGTTACACAACCCTCACTGGGACTATTGTAGAAACATTTCTACAGAGTTGGTCAGTATGTCTAATGTCTGAGTTATCATATAAGAAAGTTTAAAAGGTGTTTAACTCATTCACCCCTGAGATTTCAAAATAAACTATTCCAACCTTTGAATTCAAATACTAATAATCATATTCAATATATATACGAAAAATACCCTGCCAAAGTCGAAACAAACTTCCTTACTTAAAGATTTTGTGCTTTATTTCATTAATTTAGTTGAATAAGATAGGACTTTTTGCTGTTAAAAACGCTGAGAATAAAACCTCCCTTTTTTTAACCCAATTTCCTTAAATGATTGTAAAACTCACAGATTGGTCTCCGAGTTCAAATGTGTCTTAAGGGGTGAATGAATTAAAGGATAAGGTAAGCAACATTGGATACATGTAACCAAAAATTAACAGCTGCAATCGTGGCTTAATTAAGCTATAATCGACAAATTTGGAGTCAGATGATCTAACTAACTACAAAACTGTACTACACACTTTCTTCAGAATAGACATTTATGTATAAATTGATTAACTGTTTAATCAGGGATGTGTAGTACACATCCCTGGTTTAATTCAATACTTGATTTAATAATCTTGAAAGTAATTTATAGTGATTTTACCTTCTTCTACTCCTGCACACAGTCTGGCTTACATTCAGAAAATATCTTTTGCTGAATAACTCATTAAGTGGTCTGAAAAACACCAAAGTAAAACATGATATGATAGATAGAGGTACATACATTGCTACATTCGTCATCTGACCTTAACGTGCTATCCTGATGCCCTTTGGCATTTTTGTGTCAAAGTAAGTTGTGTTAAATATCTGATTTACTTGTACATCTAATCAATATGTCAAACTATTGTTCCAAATTAGATTTGTTAAAATGTACCTGTAGTTGTACAAAAGAAAACCATCCACCAGGAGCACAGAAATACTGTCGCCACCTGGTGAATGTGTGTCTCTGACCCACTGCTGAATATCACGCACAAGTCTTTCCATCTCAAGGGCTTTCATTTCTGCAAAATATAATATGAAGTATTTGATCAAATGACATCATCTATACAGCATATATACACACAGGTAATAGACACAACATATCCTATGCCTATATTCTAATATGTATTACTAATTACATATTAGAATATAGGCATAGGATATGTTGTGTCTATTACCTGTGTATATACATATATACATTATGTATATATAAATAAATAAAAAAATAATAAAATATAACGATAGACTTGAAAATTAGAGGTCGGTCATTACATCTTATTTTTCCTATACTTACTCACTTCACATGGCTTTTTTTTTTTTTTTTTATCTTTTCAAGAATATGGGGAACGAACATGTGTTAGATGAACATCGTATAACAAAATAAGAAGGGAGATAATCCAAATATAAGGTCATTCAACTAAAATACTTTAAATTCAATATTGAAAAAGACATAATCAAACAACAGCAGAATTATTACACATACCGTCCCAATTCTCATGATTCAATTCTGGAATCCAAGTCAGTCTTTCATCCCCTGGTTCCTGAATTAAAATATTATATTTGTTTACTTGTTGAAAACTTGTGACTTTCTGTTTATTTTTGTCTTGGATTCTATTACCGAATTCAAAGATAAATCCTTTATAATTAAATAAATGTATGAATTCTTCGGGGGAAAATCATTGCCTATGTGATGAATAAATAAAAGAATTAAAAGACTGATTGATTTGTGGAGGTATTAATACATGTGTAGATTTCAATTGCCATTGATTATATCAGCTCCTATGATATTTATTACAGCAGAGTTATCGGTTAAACTTAAGCGTTAATCAACCAGTTGATTAGTACCTACAGCAGGTTGCATAATTAATTTTTTCAACAAACCAGGTAGTAATCGTCTTGATGAATAGCAGAGCAATTGGGTAAAGCAGACACAAGCTGTTCGACCAAAGTAGATTTACCACTATTAGTAGCTCTGCAAGGAAAAATGGAGCATGCACAAAAATGTTATGAACATTAATACAGAGCTAGAAACAGATGAGATTTTATTGGTAAAGTTGGATCTCTGCAGCTTATATTTTTTATATTCCTTATCACCGATATTTTTTATTTGCTACATCCACATGAATATTGAACATCCACTTGCACGAGAAGTGCCTCTGTTGGCCAGAGTTCAGTGTGAAAAAATAAGTGTATACAATACATATATAACATATATATGTACAATAATCTAACAAAATAAAACAGATTTCATTTCAATACCAAACATACTTGAACAGGACAGATTTCCACTGAAGCTTCATAAATCTTACATTACCTAGCACGAGGCATGTCAAATTGTGGAAAGGTGTAATTTCCATCCAAACAGATTGTAGAATAAGCATAATTATTTTAACTAACATACTTTTTATTTCTGGAGAATTGTCTAAAAACAGGCATACTAGTAAATTAATTTCATGAGTAAATTAAGCCTGCAAGGTTTTGAAATTTTGTTTTAAGAACAACAATTAAAGGCATCACAGGTGATATAAATCCCCCTCGCATTCACACATTGTGTGCCATATGTATGAGGAAATGAATAGCAAATTCAATGATGTAACGATAACTGCTCTAGTGACTGCATCTGTTCAAAGAATTGTCAAGGCAAACAATTGTATCAAGTTTCACAAAATTTTGTTCAGGAATTGAATGAAGTCGCTAGAGCTATGACAAAGTTTTTCCAAAAACAATTACAGTGACCTTGACCTTCAATGCAGTTACCCGAAATGCAAACTTGCTCAAGGTATTGTCATACCAAATACTATTATGAAGTTTCATGAAATTCTGTTGAGAGATGAAGTTGCTAGAGCATGACAAAGAGTGTAACATAGGCATACATGTACGTACGCATGGGAAGAATCCTATATCCCCTCAAACTTTTGTTGTGAGGGGATAAAACATGTTTTCATCATAACAAAGTTACTATTTAAATCACATGAATCCTGAATTTGTACATGAAGTCATATTTTAATAGTTTAAAAGTACATTTGTACATGCATCTACGTTTAGGTAAGCTGTGTAATGACTCTTGTTTTAATTCTCCTCTCTTATCCCCCATTGACACATACACACACTATAGAAAATATAGATAATAGAATTGTTGAAAGACATGCAGGATGATGAAAAGGAGTAGGCCAAACAAGTAAAAGAAAACTTGAAATAAATAAAAGAAAACTTGTCATATATAAATCAACAAGAGGCCCAATGGGCCTGCATCGCTCACCTGTTATTAATCTAACACTTGTAATCTTAAGATTTCATAAGAACCTATTAAAAGATTTAAACATATGACGCCTCTGACCTTGATTGTCGAACAAGGACATTAGGTTGAAAGTGGATCAAGGTCATTCATTTGAACTAACATGGTAATCCTTCATCCCAGCATGCTACAGGCCCAATTTCAGTACCCTGGCCCTTTTGCTTATTGAAAAGAAGTCGCTTGAAGATTTTACGACATTTGACCCCTGTGACCTTGAAAGTTGGTCAAGGTCATTCAGTTGAACAAACTTGATAGTCCTTCATCCCAGCATGCTACAGGCCCAATATCAGTACCCTGGGCCTTTTGGTTATTGAGAAGAAGTTGTTTGAAGATTTTAAGACATCTGACCCCAGTGACCTTGAAAGTGGGTCAATGTCATTCATTTAAACAAACTTGGTAGCCCTTCATCCCAGCATGCTACAGGCCCAATATCAGTACCCTGGGCCTTTTGGTTATTGAGAAGAAGTCGTTTGAAGATTTTATGACATTTGACCCCTTTGACCTTTGAAAGTTGGTCAAGGTCATTCATTTGAACTAACTTGGTAATCCTTCATCCCAG